AAGAATTTTTTTAAATTTTAAAATTAATAAGAAACATGAATTTACCTACTTTTCCCTGCCACCCTGACTATTCTCCACTTTGCTGCTTTTCAGAAATTTGAGAAGCATCTAGGAAGCTATCTCAGACAGTGATTATTAGAGGGTGGTGGGTGAATGGTGTTAGGTCTCTGAAGCTTCGCAATTAAGATTTGCCATATTTGTTCTTCAGGGAATGTTTGTGAGTCTCTTTCCCATCCATCTTGTTGGTCAGCTGGTTAGTCTCCTGCATATGTCCCTTCTCTACTCACTATATTGCTTTGAATATCGTTGGTTCAATAAAGGTAAGTCCATCTAAAGAAACCCAGAACATCAAAGCTTAGTTTGGAAATGCTACTACTTGCTAAGCAGACTTGTTAAGCTATTCAATAGTTAGGCCTATGGCAAACTATCTTCGGAAGGAAGTATCCTCATTGGCAAGAGAGAGCTTACATTTGGCTTAGTGGGTTTAACCCTTAACTTTGAGGCTGGGGGATGCAGTGGTATAGCATTATCTTTTTGGTGCTTAATGTCATATAGCTCTGACTGGTGGTAAGATGGCATAAATGAGCCTGATTTCTAAATTAGGGCAATGAGATTGACATCAGCATTCAGATTCTTTTGGATCTTTTAAGAAGACCTTGGTATATTTATCCGGGTGTGTGTGGTTGAAAGAGGTTAACTGATTTCTACAGGATGGCATCCTTTTTATTTAATATATTGCTTTGTTCCAAACTAATACTGACAAAGGTTTGCTCGTGCTGAAATTCTTAATTCACTTAGCCTATCAGCTTGTGATTACTGAATTGTAAAAACTTTGCATACAAGCTTTATATCAGATTTGTTCAATTCTAATTTATATGTTTTAGCTGTGTTCAAAATGATAGATCTGTACCTAAAACTCAAGCCTCTCAAATAGTTTGTCTACCATAGTTACTTAAACACTCTGTTAAAAGGAAATATATCTAATTGTATTGGCTTCCTTCTTTTAGGAATTGAAATGCACCAACGGTTGTCAAACATAGAAAGGAATTGGCCTTACTACTTTGGGTTTGGATTGCCCTTGGCTTTTCTCACAGCAATGCAGTCCTCATACATTATCAGGTAATCTGGCTAGTGGGATTTGAAGGAAACAAGTAAAAATAAAAATTCATGTAGTGAGCACCTTTTATGTGCTTGATTCTATGCTATGCATTCTATATTCTTATTTGACCATCAGGAAACTTGTAGGATTTTTCTCCTTGACAGAGTCACAGACATTTGTCAATTAGCATTAAAATCTAGTCTGCATATCCCCATATCCCATATTCTTCCTTCTACGTTGCCTCCTGGAGTAGTGTTAAACATGTCCAGTGTGAAAAATCTTTTGTTCTTTCTGAAAGGTGTGTTTTATATATTAAGGTTTTATCGAACCGTGATGTTTACAGTGGAGGCAAAGGAATTTTGGGCTTCTAATCTCTTCTCCAAAGTCATGGCTTTTATGAAGGTGACTAATTCTTTTCTTTCTCTCTCTCTCTTTTTTAAACAGTGGCTGCCTCTTCTCTATCCTCTTTCCTTTATTCATTATCAGCGCCAATGAAGCAAAGACCCCTGGCAAAGCGTAGTAAGTATTAGCCAATCAGTGAAGTTACAGCTTTGTGAAGGATTGGGGTGGTAACACCACAATTATGTCAATGAGACTTTTTTTTTTAAAATAACCTCTTAACATTGCAGGAAAACCTTTACTATACAGGTTTGAAGAAAGAAAAACATTTCTGGGATATATCTCAAACTTTTCCCCATGATATGTACATGCTTGTATATTTCTAGAGTTGATCCTATTGTATATATTCTTAATATTTAACAATTCACTGAATATAAGGCACTTGTGAACATCTATAGTTAGGCTCATTTTTGTAAGAATGGCCAACTTTTTTTTTTTTTTTTTAAGGCAAGCATGAAAATCAGGTTTATTGAGGAAAGAAAGGATTACAGGGCAAGAGCAAGATACAGGTTTATAGAGCGTGATACATACACCACAGATGACAACTGGACCCATTGTCACAGCAAAGGGTGAGCAAAAGGAAGGCAGGAAAAAAAGAATGGCCAACTTTTAAAGTAGTGGGCTATATGGTTTGGCCACATGAATTTATTGATAATGATCATAAATTTATTTATTTATTTATTTTTGAGACAGAGTCTCATTCTGTTGCCCTTAATAGAGTACCGTGGCATCAGCCTAGCTTGTAGCAACCTCAGACTCTTAGGCTCACGCGATTCTCCTGCCTCAGCCTCCTGGGTAGCTGGGACTACAGGCGTACACCACGATGCCTGGCTAATTTTTATATTTTTAGTAGAGATGGAGTCTTGCTCTTGCTCAGGCTGGTCTTGAACTCCTGACCTCAAGCAATCCTCACACCTCAGCCTCCCAGAGTACTGGGATTACAGGTGTGAGCCACGGCACCCGGCCTCGTAAAATATTTTAAATGAGTTTTTAGCAATAATAACATCACTCCAAAAATTTTAACACTTCAAAGAAAAGTTCAGTCAATCTTTGATCAATTTTGGTTAAGTCAGTGAGGATACTTATATTAGAAATTTTGGGTCTGTTTTGGGTTTTTGCATGCTTTTGCTATCTAGCAGTGCTCACTGTGTATCTTAGGAAGGGTAATCGACTTTCTCTTAACACTTCAAACCACAGATAGCCTATGATACCTTCAGAAATAGCTTTAAGTTTATACCCTGAAACCAGCTCTAGAAAAGTACTTCTAGAATCAGAATTAATTAGAATATGATTTTTTTCTCTAAGAGTCCCAGTATTTCAAAACTGGTGATTCCAGTGCCTTCACAGCAGCAGTAGGACCCAGTATGTTTTTACGTTTTTTTTCCTACACTGAAAATGCAAATGCAAAGGCCCCAGTGCATTTTTTAGTTGCTTTTTCAATCCATGTGTTTAATATCTGTACTTCCTTGATCAAATTTCAGTTGTCTTATCTTGCCCTGTGTAGCTTTAAATTCAGTGTAGTCAAATAAATTCTCACAAGTGAAATGATAATTTTGATCAACTGGGAAGCTAATGGGTCTCTTGCTTTTTAGCCTCTTCCAGTTGAGACTCTTCTCCTTGGTGGTCTTCTTAAGCAACAGACTCTTCCACAAGACAGTGTATCTGCAGTCTGCCCTGAGCAGCTCCACCTCTGCAGAGAAGTTCCCTTCACCGCATCCGTCTCCTGCCAAACCGAAGGCTGCTGCAGGCCACTGAGTTGCCTGCCACCCAAAGGGGATGGGTGGGATTGGAGGGAGGCTGTGGCAGCTCTGTTCCCTGCTCACCTCCGCCTGCCAGGGAAGGCAGGACCCACGCTGCCAAGGGCCCTCTGCATATTCACTTTCCTCTGAGGAATTGGAAGGTTTGTCTCTGGTGCACGTAAGGCAGAATCTTCCTGACACCAGTGTGTGGATTCTTAACACCACTGTGAGTCTGAAAGGACCACAGGTTTTTCTGCAGCTATTTTCTAGCATTTGCCATCCCCTGTGCCTGGACTGATTTGAATACTTTGATTTTTCTCCCTGTGCCATTTTACCCTCCCACCTTTCCTGCCTTCTACCACCCTTGGATGAATGGATTTTGTAATTCTAGCTGTTGTATTTTGTGGATTTGTTATTTTTGTTTTTCTGTGAAGCACATACGTTGGATGTGGGAGGTAAAGGAGTATCAGTTGCTCCTGGTCACTCCTTTTATAGCCATCACTGTCTTGTTTCTTGTAACTCAGGTTAGGTTTTGGTCTCCCTTGCTCCAAAAAAAAAAAAAAAAAAAAGCCTGAAGAGATGAAGCGATGGGACAGGAGGAAAGACAGACCTCACAGCCAGATCTGCCAGGTTTTGGAGTGATTTTTTTTTTTTTCTTCCCCTTGAAGGGGAAAAAGCTTTTTTCACTGGTACATTTAAAACCCCCAACTGTGGGGAGGTACCAACTCTGGCAAGTGCCACTGCAACACAATACTCAGAGAACCTGAACTTTTCAACTCTGGGGGAGCAGAAATTTACTGTTGGCCACTGCCTGGTCTGTCTGGTATTTCAAAGGAATGTTGGGTGCTGCAAATAGGAACTGAAGGGGTAAATTATTAAACCCATTAAATCCTGTAATTGTTTGGTATTTTCCTGTCATTATAAGAGACTAAATATGGGGGGAATGTCAAAATACTTGTACAATTTTAAAATTTCACAATTAAACGTGAGCTGGTTTCCCACAAAGTGTGTAGTGGTTGAATTTGTAAATTGTGCACTGGAGAAGTGTATTCATGGGATACAAGACTTTGTTGGATAATTTGGTTATAGTTTTCAGATTTCAGAGACTGGCCCTGAAAAATGTTCCCTGAGAAAGTTTGGTTTGTATGATTATAATCACATTGACACTTTGTGAAAGACTTCGGGCTTGTTTTTTGTTTCAGTCTGTATGTACATCTGTACTGTGTATTCATGAGGGAGATAGACCCTTCTAGAGTCCAGTGTATTGAACATTCTATTAGTCAAAGGAAGAGATGAGTCATTTGGTTAAAAGAAACCATTACTATGTGCAAGACAAAATATGGAATTAAAAATTGTTGCTGGGAGTTGTAAACCAAGTTTGAAGTGCTTATGCAATTGATGGAAGGAGAGTTTTTAAATAGCATCTTGGAAGTGGTCACTGTTTTCTAGCTTGTGCACAAAAAATTGTAAGACAGTTTCAGATTTATTTCCAGCATTCCCCTATGACATCCCTGGTCATTTGACAATGATATCGTAGAGAACTACTTCCAGGTTGCTATGGGGGTGGTTTAAAGAAGACCTTAGTATTGCATCAGTTTGTAACTGATCAGTGATTTCCTTGTTTAAGCTTAGTTTTTAAAACTAAGTTTTAAAAGCAACCTTAGTTATTTAAGCAGCCATCTCTTTGCTGCCTGAAGTTTGTATTTGTACCATGTAGAAGCATTTCAGTTTAGAACGGTGAGAGAGGTTGAGTGGATGAAGGTACATGATTTTATACTCAACACTATGCCTGGCTATAAAAAATTCTTTAAGTGACTAGAAGTGAGGAGTCTCCAAAGTTTTATTAGTGTAACTGAGAGGCCAAGCCTGTATAAAGGCTAGATTAGTTGTATCTGCAATAATAGGAATTTGGTAACAATTTCAAATGAGCTATGCACACAAAAGCAGTGTAACTTTTCTTGCCTTTTACTAGGGTATGGACACTGAGAACAGTGATTAGGAAACTGGAATCAAAGACTAGGCTCTGATTTTGCTAAGTTCAGAATGGCAGTTTGAGGCAGGCTAATAATTAGTAACCAAAAACAAGGGAGCTCACATCACTAAAAAGAAAAATTAGCTTGAGTTTTAATCACAACCAGTAGGATCTGAGGAATTGTTCATACAAGCTTTTTTTCAGGGATAGCTACAGCTGGACAGGTATATATAATTCAGAATACACCCTTTGTATTATATCTTTATAGCTGAGCTGTCTGTTGCAGCAGCTCTTGAATTAGAAAGTGGATGCTTTAGATCTGAGTACATTTCAGTTTGCTAGAAACTTGTAGATGGACAGATTCATGCACTTGTGTTAACTGCTCTGCATTTAATAAGGGTTAAGATAAAATTTCAGAAGAATTGTGACAAACAGGAACAAATCCAGAAGAGGGTAACTAATGGTCAAAGGTTTATAAACCACTTTAAAAGATAACATCTGTGGGGAAAAAGGGCAACTATGGTTGTCTGTTCACTGTCTACTCATTTTCTATTCACAACATTATAGTGGTAGTATGTTCATTCATGTAGCTCCATCATTAAAATTGCTGTCACTGAAATTGCTCTGGTAAGGATCATCCACTCCTCAGTGGAGTGAAATAGACTGTTAAGCGGTCATCTCACCCCTCATTAACGTGTTCTGCCTTTGCTATGTGACCCACAGAAGTTAAAAGGAAGCTGACTTCAGGTCAGGGTAGCATATATATCAGTGCAAAGTTTTGGACAGACCTAAAATGAGTCTGTAAAACCAGTAAGACATCAAGTGGGGGAACAGATGACTTAATCATGTAACGAATATTTGAACATCTCTGTCAGGCACTGGAGACTCGAGGGTGAACCAGAAAGGTATGATTACTGCTCTCTTGGACCTAACAGACTGACAAGAAAATGAACATGCAAAATTTTAAGATTTTTATGATCAAATAGCTATTTTCCATAGGTCTCAAAGCTGGGCAAAACATTGGAATTCAGAGAATCTTTGAACAGGATGAGAAATCAGGCCTCTCATTCTTGTATTCATTCTCTAATTTCAAATTTAAATGTTTTGTAATGCTTTGAGACCTATGCAAAAAACAGTGACCATTTGATCATTTTAATAAGTTATTTTAGGTGGGCACAGTGGCTCAGGCTTGTAATCCTTGTACTTTGCGAGGCTGAGATGGGAAGATGGCTGGA